TGAGAAGGTCAGTGAAATGCCCTCAGGATTTGTCCTGAGATCCTGCACCTCAGATTGTAGAACCTTTATCAGTGCAGCCATGTGGATGAGTCACAGCCAATGCTTGGCCAATTTTATTTATTTATTGAGGCAGGGTCGCTCTATGTAGTTCCAACTGCCCTTGAACTCACTACATAGCCCAGGCTGGCCTTGCACTCCCAGTGATCCTCCTATTTCAGCCTCTTGAGTGCTGAGATTACAGGCTTGTACCACTTGCCCAAGCCTAGGTTTTGTTTAGTTTTGCTTTGCTTTGTTGAGACAGGGTCTCCCTAGGTCCCTAAGTAGTCCAGAGTGGCCTCAAACTCTAAATGATCATCTGAGAGTTTTAGAATTACAGCTGTGTGTCACCACGCCTGGCTGGGGGCATCAGTAGTTTTTGTTATTGTTGTTGTTGTTTTCAGAACTGGGGATTGAACTCAGGCCCTTGCACTTGCCAGGGAAGCACTTATTCCACTAAGCCGTCTCCCTGGCCCTCTCTTTTATTTTTATGACTCTTTTTATAGCCATGAACATGAGACACAGAGAGACTGAGAGTGACATAGGTTCACACAGTCAGTAGACAGTGTGGATTTGAGCCCAGCAAGTCTAGCTGTCTTGGAAGAGCTGGACCTGGTGGTATATAGCCTATAAATCTACATTTTCAGAGGCTGAAGCAGGAAGATTGTGAGTTTATTTTTATTTATTCATCCTTTTTTGAGTGAGGGTTTTACTATGTGGTTCACGCTGACTTTGAACTCACTGTTTGTTTGTTTGTTTGTTTGGGTACCAGGAATAAAACTCAGAACCTTGCACTTGCCAGGCAGACACTGTGCTGTTGAACTCACTTCGTAGCCCAAGCTGGCCTCAAACTTGCAGCAATCCTCCTGCCTTAGACTCCTGAGTGCTGGGATTAAAGGCATGAAGTACCACGTCTGGGAAAATTCAAAGACTTAATGAGAACTTGCCTCAAAATAAAAAATGAAGGGCTAAAAAATAAATAAATAAATGAAGGGCTGAGAATATAGCTCAGTGCACAGGCCCTGTGTTCAATCCTCAGTGGGGAAAAAAAAAAAAAAAAACCAATAAGCAACATCATAGTCATGGTCATGGTCGTGGAAAAAATAATCAATTGGCTTCAGGGTTAATTTCCCAGTAAGAGAGAAATGGAGGCGCTGTGAGGCAGCCCTGTTCTGAATCAGACACTGAGGCCCCCTTGGGCATGGGATATTTTTAACCCAGAAGCTGGTGATTCTTGCAAACATCCTGCAGGGCCTTAAACACTGAGCAGATTGTTTGGGGCCCAGGGGCCCCTTCCCCCTGAGAAGCCTCCAGGCTCAGGGACAGGGTGGGCAGGGGTTGGCACCATCCAAGGGGCCCATTCAGGCTCAAGGGTCTCCTCGTGGGGTGGAGGGGAGAGGTCAGTTTGGATGGCTCAGAGTCTAACACAGGGTCACCTCACCTGGTCCAGCCCGGCACCCCACTCCCCACCTGGAAAACAGCTAGGGGGCAAGCAGGTGTGGGGTCAAGATGCAGCTCTCCACTGTGGGGAGGAACTCACCCCCCTCCTAGTAGCCTCCCCAAACCACACGGGAAAGCTGTGCCACACTGCAGAACAGAGCACACAAGCCAAACACTGTCTCCACACAGCTTTTCAAAAATGCCTAAAAAGGGGTAGCCCTCAAAATACAAAATATACATGGCCCTAAAGTAGGCGATCCCACCTCTAGAAATTTATCCTAGTAAGCCAGGCATGGTGGTGCACGCCTGTAATGCCGGCAAGAGGGGGACGGAGGCAGGAAGATTGCTGCAAGTTTGAGGCCAGCTTGGACTACAAAGTGAGTTCAAGTCTAGTCTGAACTGCATAGTGAAACCCTGCCTCAAAAAGACGTTCCCCC